ACGCACGGAGGGATCGAAAGTGGACGAGAGAAAGAGAAAAACAGAGAGAGAAAGAGAGAGAGAGAGAGAGGGAAAGAGACGTACGCGTACACTTTTGCGCACGAAACGAGGGATCGATATATGCATAGAGATTATTGCTATGTACAGCGTCAGTACTTAAAAATCGTTGCTGTCAGTGATTAGTAAATATCGAGAGAACACGACGCACCCCATGGCCTTCGTTACGCCCTCGCACCCTGGTACAAGCGGCCGTTTCTATCGGGTTCTTCGATCAATCCCTCTCTCTTTCTCTTTTTCTCTTTCTCGCTCTTTTTGCATTCTTCATCTCTCTTTCGTTTTCTCTCTCTCTCTCTCTCTCTCTCTCTCTCTCTCTCTCTTTCTCTTTTTGCATTCTTCATCTCTCTTTCGTTCTCTCTCTGTTTCTCTCACTCTTTCTCTCTCTCTCTTTCTCTCTTTCTCATTCTTTCTATCCTTCCACGAGCAACGATAAGAGTTTAAAACCCCATTAGGGCAAACTACACGCATAGCCTTTAGGTAGAATTCCCTTCCACTTGCTCCAAGAGGCGAGAAGTCGTATGAGCACACATGCAAGCAAGCTCCTCGACTACTCAGAGAATCGAGTTCGAGGGTGTCGAATCGTTACGAACACGGATCTACACGTATTTGCGAGATAGGAATTAAGGGGTGCCGATTAATCGGCTTCTAAGTTCTTTTGATCTTTGCGAAGACTTTCTCTTCAAGAGTGTACCAATACTCGTAGATTTATTCATTCTCGCATATATCTATGATCCCTTCTTCGTTTTCATTCTTTTTTTTACATTTCCTTTAAACCTTACTTTTTTCACGCAACACATGGAAATATTACGATCGATCGAAAACAATGTACAATTATCGTTATATATCTTATCCGAAGAAAGAAAGAGATATATCGATGGAGACTTATATTAGAGAAATCGAAAAGTTGAAGAGAAAAAAGAAAAAAAAAAAAAAAAAAGAAAAAGATAGAAAAAGATATAAGATTGTTTGACTTAGTCTTAAGTTATTTTTCAATCATCAGGTAAGATCGTAAATTGACGAAGTATTGCACATTGAGCGGTCTACCCCAACCCCACACCGTCATTCCTACCCCTATCCCACTCCTTACTCTTCCCCCCCTCCACATATAACTCTTTTGAAGGCGTACATATATCTTACATATTCCATGTTCAATCGCCTCAAACCCTCTTTACGACGTCGACCATTATCACGGATATTACCCGGCACGCTTTCTACGACGTTTATTATGAATTATCGAAGGCTCTAACTCGATAAGAGGATCGGCTCGTTATCGAGGATCCCCGATAAGGCTTGGAAAATTAACGAATCGTGCGTTTTATGAGAATGAAATGTCGAACGAGTGTTGAATGACGTACTATTATAATACGTTATTAAAAGCGTACTATATCGGAGACCGTAGAAGATCGAAATCTGACATAATGATCGAGCTGACGTATCACCCACAAGAGAAAGATAGACAGACAGAGAGACAGAGAGAAAGAGAGAGAGATAGATAGATAGATAGATAGATAGATAGATAGAGAGAGAGAGAGAGAGAGAGAGAGAGAGAGAGAAATAAAAAGATTTTATATACAATTTTTAGAAAATATTTTTCTTTATAAATCAATCTATCGAATCGTTTATCGATCATCGAATATAATCTCGAAATGAAATATTTCCTTTACGAAAAAAGAAAAAAAAAAAAAAGAAAAAATATTTCAACATGAAATAGCACTTGTCAAATTCAAGTTCAAGAAGGGGCTTAACATTTGTACCTATGTCTTTTGACACAATGTTAAGATCGTATCGACACGTTATGGATTATAACAATTACGGTCACTTTTTTAAGATATTTAACTCTTATTACGAATATTATCGAAATTTTTTTCTCTCTTTTTTTTTTCTACTATTTTTCTTGTTGTTCTTTTTTTCTTTTTTTTCTCTTCTCTTTTTTTTTTTTTTTTTTTTTTTTTTTTTTTTAACAACCATTGAAAATTCAAAGAGCCCGTTAATGAGCGGGCTCTTCCGCTTTCACCATCTAATTCGCTTTCTCATGGACTAATTAGGGTATTTATTACTCGTGCGTAATAATGCTAATCCTTCTTTTCGAAGCCGCCGTAGCCAACAGTTGAGATAGCTTGCGATGAGCCGGACTTTAAAATTGGTCTGCGTGTACTTGCGCGCGAGAAAGAGTACGAGAGAGACAAGGACAGACGGATAGAGTGAGAATGAGAGAGAGAGAGAGAGAGATAAAACGAAAGAGAGAGAAACAGATAGCACCACATGCACACGTATAAACACACCTTCGACGTAATCGCACTCACATATACGCAGCAAACACAGTGAGGCTAATCCAAGTTGAATAGAGAGATTTTAATGTTTTTATGCTAGAACACAATGGGGTACCCACTTGATGTCTAGCTCTCTATTGCTTTCTATTAAATCTACGAGCGGTTCGATAGTCTGTGGAAGGGGGTGGTTAGAAGTAAGAAGGGGATACAGAGAGTAACACACACACACAGAGAGAGAAAGAGAGAGAGAGAGAGAGACGATCGATCATTCCGCTAAATTAAAAATTTATTTACCGTGGCAAGTGACCACATGGTCGATGCTTATCGTTGCAGCGATCCTTGAAAAAAAAAGAGAAAAAAGAGAAAAAAAAAGGAAAGAAAGAAAACAAAAGAGGAAGAAAGAAGAAGAAAAAACAATGATAAAAGTATTTATTTTGAAAAAAAGTTCTTCAATCGGCAATTATTATCGATTTATATATATATATATATATATATATATATATATATATATATATATATATATATATATATATATAGCAAGTATATTTATATGCATGGATATATCTAAATGTTTCCAATTATATCTAAATCATGTTTGATGATTTCTCGCCAATACATTCGTTTAAATGATCAAGCCTGACAAATTAAAATCGTTTTACTGCTAATTCAACGCACGAACCGAGAACGATAAAAAGTAACAAACGTTCGGAAAGCACGAGCACGCACTCCCGTTTTGGACCTTTCCTGTGCTGGAATATATACGTATCTATATATATATATATACATATATGTATGTATGTATGTATGTATGTATGTATGTATATATGTATGTATGTATGTATGTATGTATGCATGCATGTACATACTACGTTCATAGAAAATATTCAACGCTCGAAGTAATTACGACGTACATAGTTCGTAATTTGACGCCGATCGAGATATCCATTAATTTTATATTTAAACGAATTTAACGTGCCGGATTTTGCAACTCTATATGCAAATTACGAGGAGTTCGTGACGATTATTATAGAATAATAGATATTTATATAGATAAGTGTATGAAAAATAGCTTCTTCGATTTTTATATTATTTCAAATGTCTTATTTGACTTTCATTTCCTCCCACGAACGATATAAAAGAAAATTTGATTACAGCAAACTCGATAGTTAACTAACGTATACACACAAACCATATGCACGTATGTACACGCACACAGATACAAAGAGAGCGAGAGAGAGAGAGAGAGAAAGAGAGAGAGACAGACACAGACACATACATAAGTATACAGAATCACGCTCTCATGTTCAAGCTCATACAAACACCTATGGTCAAACCGACTAATATATTCGTAGGTTGGAGGGATCATGCAACGATGGACATCGACGTTGGCAACTGCTTTAATTACAATGGATAGCAGTACAGGTGAGATCCGCAACGTTACCGCGATTTCTACCACAATCGAGCAGAACTAATATCCACTGAGCCTACGTTCAATGGACATTGATAACGTGTCCCGGAAGTCGAACATCAAGCTAGATAGAGATAGACAGATAGATAGATAGATGGATAGATAGATAGATAGATAGATAGATAGATAGAGAGAGAGAGAGAGAGAAGTTCATTGATGCAATAATTAGGTGGTAATACCGGGTTAAACATGTGTTCTTCGAAGGGACAACATTCTTTATGATTTCTCTTTTTTTTTCTCTCTCTCTTTTTAAATCACTCTATTCGAATAACAATCAATTAGAGGAATAATCTTTTGAGAAAGTTTTGCTTTTTCCCAAAAGGACAAAATATAAGTATATAATTGTATTATCTCATAATACTTAAGATTTAAGAGATTACCGAATTTTTCAATATATAATTAAATATCACATAAAATTAAAACCTTAAAGGGCTTATGGATTAGGCTATTACTATTGGCATGTCGTTCTAATATAAAAGAATAAATATGATAAATGAACACATTTTGTTAGCTTTTCTCTTGATCTTAAAGATCTATAGATCGATCGATCATTCGAAGTAAAAATACATATATTATCGTATCTTAGTTGATTATAAATTTAAACTTACAATTAGTTCATAGATATGTTCGTTTGACTTTGAAAAAAAAAAGAAAAAAAAAAAAAAAAAAATGTTTGCGTGACGTAACGCATTTCATAAATCTACATTACATAGGTACCTACATAGATGGTTACCAGAGATTCGCATAACAGCGACGACCTAATTATGTTACCGTCGGCTTTTTTACAAAGACTAGTGACAATTTAAGCTTTCGCGTGCGTGCGTCCGTCCGTTCGTCCATCCGTCTGTCCGTCCGTCCGTGCTCTTCGGAGATCGCGCATTATTTTCGATATAACTTGCGTGCGAAGGTAACGCGATGCCATTAGCCGTGAATCGAGATCGTCGATCGAGCTCTATCGATCGTTGCGTCGACGGAAAAGACATTCGCGTATAGATCGTACGAATGGATCTCGGGGGCTCGGCCGATCACGTGACTCTACGGAGAGACTCAATTACACGTTCATCATCGTTCATCAATATCGATTTGCGTTTGATGTAATGAATTAATGAGAGACGCGATTTCGCCGATTTTTCATTTCTTTTTCATTTCTTTTTCTTTTTTTTTTCTTTCTTTCTTTCTTTCTTTTCTTCTTTTTTCTTTTTTTTTTGCTTTTTTTGCTTTTTTTTTTGCTTTTTTTTTTTTAACGTTATTGCATTAACAATCATTTTCTTTAAATAGTAATAAACTTCGATCGTATCGCTTTACGACAAAAAGATCATGCACGAAATATTCCAAAGGAAAAATCACGTAGAAGAGAAAAAGGTAAAAAGGAAAAAAAGAAAAAAGGAAAAAGAAATAAAGGAAAAAAAAATCGTACCTTCGTCCTTGCCGTGGCCCAAAATTTGATCGATGCTATAAACGTTCTTCTTCTGATTATAAGTTTGCGCCATAATCACCGAGGTTATTTACTCGTGCGATGATAACGGCAGATTTATCTTCAAAGACAGATGGATATTTCTCACACGTGGGGTTGTCCTCTTCTTTAAACGCAAAACTTCTTGGTGGACGTAAGAAAGAAGCCAAAGAAAAAAAAAAAAAAAAACAAGAAAAGGAAAAAAAAGAAAAAAAGAAAGAAAGAAAGAAAGAAAGAAAGAAGATATCACGAATCTCACTGCTGTCGACGGATAATTAAATTTCCACAGGTCTTATTTTCAATGTCCTTCCTCCTTCTCGCCGCACACGTATTCGTCCTGATGAAAATTGAATTTCCCGCTTTCTTCTCGATACTTTAGTACATACAAGACGTATAAATTGTACCTTACGAACATTTGCATTTACGTGACGTTACGCGAAGGGAAACGATCAGACCACAAAGTTGGATGAATAAATCGATCGATTTGCTTTCGAAAAAAAGAGCAAAAAGAAAAGGGATAAGGGGAGATAAAAGTATAAAAAAAAAATAAATAAAAAGTGAAAAATAAAAAAATTAAAGGAACAGGCGTAAAAAATAAAAGGGAAAGATGACGGATGGAGAGAACGAATGTATGAGAAAGAAAGAAATTTTGAGAGAGGGAGAGAGAGAGAGAGAACGTATATGATATATATATATATATGTATATATATATATATAGAGAGAGAGAGAGAGAGAAAGAGAGAGAGAGAGTGAGAAAGAGAGAGTCAAAGATCGTTCCGATGCTCGACGCGACTCTCCACCTTCCAAAGAAAATGCGTCAATCGACGGCGCACCACCAACTGGCTCGTCGGACATGAAAGCAGCCCTTAATATCGCGTACACCCGCCCCACCTCGCAACCCCTAACACCGCCATATTAGCCCCTCGGCCAATGAGGGTGCGCGCTTTTCACCCAAAGCCACCCCGTTGTCGGGGGTTGAATGAGGTCTGGGCGGGGAATATTTTGCCCTTTCCGCGTAAATCCCCGGATTTTTTCTACCTTCTCCTTCCCTCTCCACTTTCCTCTTCTCACTCTCTCTCTCTCTCTCTCTCTCTCTCTCTCTCTCTCTCTCTCCGTTTCTCTCTCTCTCTCTGTTTCTCTCTCACTTTTCCCCTTCTCCTCTTCCTATCTGGAAAATCGTCTTTCTCTATTCTCCATACGCTACCATCTTCCTCTCTTTCTCTATCTTCGATCCACCCACAACGTTTTCTCTCTTCTTTCTTTCTTTCTTCTTCTCTCCTTCTCTCTCTCTCTCTCTCTCTCTCCCTCTCTTTCCTTATTCTTTCTACGTATGTACATTCGTCTTCCTTTAACTTTCGTACTAACGCTCGTAACACACTCTTCCTTTCTCTTTCTAACTCCACAACTTCTCTCTTCACCAATCGACAACGAGCTAAATTTTGGTGATCAACGATAATTCGCCACGATACTCTCTAAGAGTTTCGTTTCTCGAGGATCATCGCTCGTTCTATTCTTACTCCAATCGAAGTGTCTAGCACGAATCGAATATCTGCCTCATCCTCCCTCTCTCTCTCTCTCTCTCTCTCTCTTTCTTTCTCTCTCTCTTTCTCATCTTTCTCGTAAACACAAATCTCTTTAAAATTTTTTTTCTCTTTTTCTTTCATTGCTTCTTTCCTTTTTTTTCACTTTCTCTCTCTCTCTCTCTCTCTCTCTCTCTCTCTCTTTCACTTTTATTCTATTTCTAAATAAACTTTATTACTATTAAGAACAAATTAAGAACAATTACTATCGAAAAAACAAATAATTGTTATCTTTCTCTATCGAATTTTTAAATGAGAAAAATTGTTTTATTATCCATCAAACTGCATACATGTAGTTCGCATCACTAAACGTATACGACTAAAAACTATTCTTTGTATTACGATATCTGGCAGCTGTCGAGATTAGATTAAATATAAATTTATTACGAGTTTCTATAATACACTAACAAAATTTATTATCGATCATAATCTACGCATATTTTTCTTTCTTCTATATCGTTTAGGGTACGTTTAACGTAAAAAAAAGTTCTTATTGATATTAATGAAAGTTCGTTCAAATATAAACCTATTAAATAATCCGAGTATTCGAACAAAATTAAGAATGTTCAAGGATAATTACGGTAAACAACGGTTGTTACTTATTTTATGACAACACCTTTCTATGTCTGTTCCCTAATTCGTTAATCTCATCCTAAGAAAAGGCTCATAGGTTAGTCCTTTTACCTAGCTGTACAACCACAACAATCACCTTTCCCAAAGTGATCCATTTTACGAAATTTCATCCGTAATCTTCTTTTTGACGTTCCACTAATCTCCGGACGCTGGCTTGTCCGCCATTGTTTACATTGTCTTTCACAAACTTACAAGATGGAGATCTTTAATACAACAAAGCGTATCGTGTACTTTCACATTCATTTCGTTATAACGGATATTTTACGTAGGGACTTCTTTTCGAATATGGGCGATTATGCAAGGTAAATCTCTTTTATGTGGAATATGCTTCGCCTTATTCCCATTAGTATGTGTGTAGGTATATATATATATATATATATATATATATATATATGTATGTATGTATGTATGTATATACAGATATAAGTATAATTTAAAATTAAATGTGTGTTCTGTGCTCTACGAAATACAAAATCTATTTAGAGAAAGATTCTCATACAACAAAGAAACATAATTATTTTCTTTGTTTGTTGACCGCTTCGTGGAAATACAGAATGGCATCGTTGAATGGAATGAATCGAATTCGAATATTATTTATGATTTAAGTCGTAAAATAAATCTTTCATTTTAAGATCGTTATTTATGATTTATTCATTTACAACAATGACGGTTCATAAAATTTTCATTATTTCAAATTGATTTTCCATAGCAATTAATATAAATTTTCTTTCTACATCGTAAAACAGACAATAATAAAAGAGAATATTACGAATAAACGAAAATGGACGATTCTATTTCGTAGATAAGATTTTGGAAATTTGACGTCTGATTAAAGAGTAAAATCTACGTATACAGTTAAGATCTATATATATATATATATATAAACGGCGAATGAGAGTCACGTTAACTTTATGAACAACAACATAAAAAGAGGAGAATAATGAAGAGACAAGCAATGGGTGGTGACTTTGAAGAGCCATCCGGCGATGATTAAATCTCTCTCGGTTTATTTGGCCGCACAAAGCTCACCAAGCGAACGGCACAAGATCGTAGTAGATGCGATGCCATACCAGAGCGTATAGCGTGCTTTATAATGCAAATAAACCGTCGCATATAGGGCCACTACTTGACTGCTCTCTGTCAGGACACGTAACAAAGTTTTGGTATTATACCTGTAACGGGACACAGCGTATCCTATGCGCGCATGAATTTTGGAATAGCTTAAAAAATCCACACTCGACTCGAGTTCGAAAACTTTTTCGACGAAACTATCGCGCCGCGCCGGTATAATAATAATGTATAACGCACGGTTCGTTCGACGAGAAAGAGAGAGAGAGAGAGAAAGAGAGAGAGAGAGAGAGAGACACTTTAGATATAATATATTTAAGAAAAATCTAAAAGATAAATCTTAATGAGGGATGGTTGATTAAACCTAGGACGGATTTGCACGTGGGTAATCTACAACAGTTAATACTTTTCAGCTGTTCCCTTTTTAAAAGTCTATTTAACCAAAAGAAAAGAATTTACTTATCCAGCAATTGGAAATTCCAACGTTAACTTTCTTTTCGGCAAAGAGAAAGGTCCGTACAATTTGTACAATTGTTTGATAATTACTATTATTATTATTATTATTATTATTATATCGACAATTTAAAATAATCTAACGCGTTGGAGATAATAGTTTTTAACCATCCAACAAATCGTATTTCCGCTTAACGTCAACAGCCAATTTGTTTTCTTGGTAATACAGATTTGCATGAAACTAATTGCATGGTGTATTATCAAGCGCATTAAAGCAATTCTAAATGCCATTTATAGCTACGTATATGTACATACGTAAATACATATATATATATACATATATATATATATATATGTATATATATAGTAAGAGAGAGAGAGAGAGAGAGAGATACATACCTATTTGAAAGTGATATTTACGATTATAGGGAGTTAAAGACATATGGAGATTCTAATGAGCTTAATTATCGAGAGAACTCTGACGGTATGCTTCGTACAAACTAATTAACGTTGATCCGGATGTCCATTCAGTTTCCAGAATTGGATATTCCCACCCTCACTAGTTTCTCTCCCTTCATCTCCCTATCTCTTTCTTCATCTCATTCAGGTATATAGATCGTCTGTTTCTTGTTTGAAAATCCTTTCATCAATGGCATTAACCTAAGTAGTTCTCTACATCGTACGAACTCGCGAACAATATTTTGGACAAATTATCGAAATTATTTGTTAATACGATGAAATTTTATTAATAGCCTTTTTGACACGAAGAAAAAAATGGATAAAAATCGTTCCCCTTTGATAAGATTTTTCGATACCGATCGTTCCTAAGTATAATTGCTATATACCGTTGCATTGGGATACGTAAAAGGAGAGACGAGAAATGAGGCAAAAGGAGTCGACGTTCTACAATAAGCAACATTAAATCTGCAAAAGGAAAAGGGAAATTCGCCCTTCGAGAATGAGAGATAAAGAGAGAAAGAAAGAGAAAGAGAGAGAGAGAGAGAGAGAGAAGAAGTAGAAAGGAAGCAGATACAATTCACAAAGGATTCGTCGGACCGGCCAAAAGATCAAACGGTTACCACCCTCTTCGTCACTTCCGTCAGCCATAACTAACGTGCCTTGCTAAAGTGTCGAAAGTTAGATCATCTTCTTTAAACATAAGTAGATACGTAGGTAGATATATATATATATATATATATATATATATATATATATATTTATTGTCTTAGGTCACGTGATATCGAAGTAGAGAAAGATAAGAAAATAAAAAAAAAAGAAAAAAAAAATTATCATATTTCCACGAGTTAATAATTAATAATTAATTCTTTATATTAAATCATTTCCCTCGAGATATCGTTTGGATATTAAATATTCTATGGATGAAGAGGAAGTTTAATATAATTTAATTTTATTCTCTTCTTCTTTTTTTTTTCTTTTTGTCTCCACGTTCTTCCTTCCCCTTATTCTTATTCGTTTGCACACTTCGTATCCCGTTAATCAGTATATCGCATCAGATTTAATAATAAAAATAATTTGTATTATCTTGTTACTCGATCTCTTCTTACCATAGCGAATCAAATTGACGGAAGTCCTTTATCTTGACAAAAGAGAAGAAATAGAGTAACAGAACGTGAATCGTCGTCTACGTCGTCGATGTTCGCCGCGCAAGGGGTTGTTACCAGAGGGTATCAGGGCCATCGTTATTGCCCCCTGAGGCCACGCGTGCATTGTTGTCGTCGAATAAAGAAAAGAACCACAGAGGCTTATAAGATGAATAAAAGAGAAAGATGGACCGTATGTATTTATCGCGAATTTTTCTTACTTCTGTACGCGATCCTGATCGATTTCGCGCCAACTTGTCCAACATTTTCAAGCAAAACGAAGAATAACGATTAAAAAAAAAGAAAAAAAAAAAAAAAGACAGAATAAAAACGTAAAAAGGAAAAGAAGCGTATTATCATGAACATGGGAAAACATGAAAAATTATTTTCATATAATTCGACCACAGAATCGATTTTTCTCTTTGACAGATGCGTATACTACTTAACAACATATCCCCTCCCATCCGTGCGAACCCTTTTCAATCCACTTCAATTTTATAAATCCCTTCATGACATGAGTTTCGGACTTATAAAGTGATTTAAAATGTTCCCATCTAAAATATCTATATTTCCGCGAGCTGCATAAAATTGAATCACCATTGAAGGTCATCCGCTTAAAAAGGCTGACGGAAATGCGTCCTAACTGGTCAACTTTTTAGCAATGTCGATTAACGACGTATAAATGTACGAATACATATATATATACATATATATATATATATATATCCTATATATCAAGTAAATCGCTTTTCCACGGAACAGAACTCATTTCAATAACTTTTATTTGATTCTTCGCGAACTATTGAATTCATTTGTATTTTAACAAAAAAGTAATTAACGACGATTTCATTATACAACATCAAAAGAAATTTATATAATAAATTTGTACTAAACAGAGGACAGAAAGGGGAAAATAAATAATCAAATGTAGTAAGATCAAAGAAAAAGAGGATATACAAGGAAGAAAAAGAAAGAGAAAAATAAATGAATAAATAAAGAAATAAAGAAAAAGCCAGGATATCGATCGATACGTTAGAAATCGTAGATCGAAACGCATTCTCTCAAAGTGATCCGCTTCCTTTTTTCCTTTCCCTTCTTCGTTTGTTAACACTCCCGGAAGGCTCGAATCCTTTTCAGGCGACAACAACGCGGTCGAGCGACTACAGGACAGGTGGAGCAGGGGACGTACGGATGGGAAGGAGGATGAGAAGGAGGAAGGGATAGACGAGGGTAGAAGAGGCTGAGAAGGGTAACCAGAATCTCTCTCTTTTCCTCTTTCTCTCCCTCTCCATCACTCGTGGTTATATATCAGGAGCGTCGCGTTATTGGCCCCTGAGGCGCCACCGCGCTTTGTTGGATTGCTCACGACGCGCTGGATAAACCGAGGACGAAGAACCGTTGACTTTTATAGGATAAACGAGGTAAAGACTGTCCCACTCTTTCTTTCCCTCTCCCTCTCTCTCTCTCTCTCTCTCTCTCTCTCTTTCTTTTTCTTTCTTTATCTCTTTTTCACTTGCACATAACCAATCCTCGTGTATCTTCACATTTTCCCGTCAAAGTACTAAAGTAATGTCATATTCTTTTAACACCACGTATATCCTAAGCGTAGAATGATATTCTTTCGCATTTTTAATGAATATCATTTATTTTGACATTACAAATAACCGTCTGATAATTTGTCATTGATCCCTTTGTTATATGTGTACATTTATTCATACATATATATATATGTATATATATATATATATATATATATATATATATATATGTTAATTATCATTAATTGAAAAAAGATAACGTACTCTCGTAATAACATCGATAGTCAGATAGACCAAGAGAGTAGATCGAGAGCAACAAACAGTGGCTACGTCTCTGCTAAATAAACCGAGCCTCCACCCCTTTTTACGGGGGTTGCTCGGTGCGCCCCAGCGTGGCTGCCGGGATTTTATTAACTTCTGCACAACGCCGGCGCGCCGCCACGTTTCTCTCTCTCTCTCTCTCTCTCTCTCTCTCTCTTTCTCTCTCTCTTTTCTCCCTCTGGATCGAGAAAGAGAAAGAGAGAGAGAGAGAGAGGAGAAGAGAAAAAGAGACAGAGACCTCGACTCCAACAAACAACCAAATAAAGAGATAGTAATTATTGTGTTTGTACCCAGTTTATTTCTTCGGTCGTGCCTTTCTCTTGCTCACGGCCATCAAACCATCGTGGTCGGGTTTTTCTCCTCTCCGCGCTTCGTCTCCCGTCACCCCTTTGTGCCAGAGCTTGTGCTAGAAAAACCACGCTACGTCGCCCGGAAAAAAACGTCAAAGTTATCACAGTGAGTTTTCTCGCCTCGCTTTTCTCCACATTTTCTACGACTTACAAATCTTTCTTTTTCTATTTTTTTTTCTTCCCTCTTTTTGAAACACTTCTCCTTTCACCCCCCCCCCTACACACACACACACACACACACCTAACATCATCCAATCCGCCTCAATCATTATCTTCACTCCTTTCAATTTGATTTTCATCTTTTTCCAATTTTATCATTAAATATCTCCCAGATAAATAGAAGAAACTACGAAGTATGCTCTTTTAAAACGTAATTGTTGATAAGTAAAAAAGAATACGACATGTCAATGTCCGAACAATTCAGTTTTATTTATTTATTTTACTATTTCGTTTTTCTTATTATATTCCTTCGTTTTCATTGTTATATTCCTTTAAGAGAAAAATAAAGAGAGAGATAGAGAGATATATATATATATAGAGAGAGAGAGAGAGAGAGAAATAGCAAATTAGTTTACTTCTCGAGCGCGAAGCAGTCTCGAGGACGAGCAGCATTAAAAGGACACGAGTGCCGGAGGGAAGGTATAAACGAGGCGGATACCGTGGCGAATTACGTATATACCTATTGCTGAGAGAGAGAGAGAGGGAGAATAAAAGGAGAGCAAAGAGAGGATACGAGGAGAAACGAGATGGAGAAAGATGAAGACTGAGAAGTAACCGGTACACCGGTGGAACGTTCGGAAGTCCGATCAGAGAGAACCATTGGCTTTGATCCGTTGCGTGGATAGCGTCCTGCACGTGGCTGAATGCCTCCCCCCCATTTCTGCCACCAAGCGTTGCCACCCTAACGTCCTCTTCGCCCCCTCGGCATTCATAGGGAATCCCAAATGATCGTGAAATAACCGCTCACTTATATCAATTCACTGGCTCCTCTTTATAAAGGCGCATTCACGCGTGTCATCTACCACCGTGTCCATCGTCACTGTACCACTACCATCACTACCATCATCCATTTACTACCACCCACGCAAACCCTCTCTCTCTCTCTCTCTCTCTCACTCTCTCTTCCTTCTCTTCTCTTTTTCCCTCGCACGAGACGCGTGCATTTTTTTGCTTTCTCCCTTCCTCTCTCTCTCTCTCTCTCTCTCTATCTATCTTTCTCTCTCCCTTAATATCCTTTTTCTCCTTTCAATCCTAGAACGACGTTACCTCTTCTTCATTCGCTCGATCTTCGACCTGCCACCCCTTTTATATTCTCATTCTTTTCCGATCTCTCTCTCTCTCTCTCTCTCTCTCTCTCTCTCTCTTTTTCTCTCCGCTATACGGGAAGTAACGATAAATTATCATAGTCGATTAAGCCAACCGCGTACAGAAGCTTCCCAGTCAATCTTGGAACTTTATCGATGGCTCTTTTGACGAGCACGACGTTCTTTAATCGTTCCTCAGACAAAGGACGAAGGATACTATCTCAATGGATCGAAACGAAACTTCTACGTGATCCGAAACGTTTCGAAAATGAAAGTTGAATCCGACAAGAGAAAAAAAAATAATATATATATATGTATATTCTTCTATCTTATTTCTCTTATCTCTTCGATAAGATATAACGCAAAGGATGATAATGATTAAATATCGAAAGAAACGAAAATCGACATTGAAAAGTAGAAAGGAAGGAGCCTAAGGATTCTGTCCTTTTTATTTTCCTTATCTTTCTTTCTTTTTCATCGGTGGCTAACGCGGTAAAGATTTGGCTGGCAGTGAGATCCGAGAGAGAGAAAGAGAAAGAGAGAGAGAGAGAGAGAGAGAGAGAGAGAGAGAGAGATGAGAAGAGGACGGCCTGAGAGGAAATATAATTGAGCGATTTGAGAAGATTTCGACTTGAGAGGGAGGGAAAGGAAAAGGGGAGGAACAGGGGCCGCCGCGATAAAGTATAATTATTTTCCGATAGAGTGGACATTATTCAGGAACGAGCGAAGAGTTATTGGCGATATTCATACTTTTATTAAACGACTGTCTCCTCCCATCCTCCAAAGATCCCTTCTCCATCCTTCATTCAGGCTTTCACCTCCGCCTTCCACCCTACAGAAAATTCTTTTTCTCTCCCGGGATTCACGATCGCGTTGTCCCACCACTTGAATTCTGTCCTTTCGTCGTGCATTGTTTTCGATTAATGTAATTAGTCTGTTGATAATTATGTTCTGAAAAGTTTTTTTCTCCTTTTTTTATATTTCTTTCGTTCGCTCTCCTCTTCTTCTCTTTTTCTTTTTTAAGAATCATTCTTTCATTCAAACAATGAAATAATGTAAGAAAAATGGTAGTAATCGATTTGGTATAGAAAAGAAAATTATATATCTCTTAAAGAAAAATCAACGTAAAACGATCGATGGAGATAGACTTTTTGATCTCGTTCGACGTCACACGTAGATAGATATTATCGTCGATGTTCTCCGAGGTGTCCTATACCAATATCCCCGCGACGTCTCCTTCAACTTTCTTCCTACCTTGAAATATTTTACTTTATAAAAGGAGCCGCGCCTCGCTGTGCCGATGACACGCTGATAATGATACTCCGCAGCTATTCAGAAGCCGAGTAGCATTGTTAACTTTGCAATAAAACCGGGGTGATGTTGGCAAGAGAGGAGGAGAGTACGGGCCGAGGCAAAAGAGACGAGGAAAAGGGGTGATGTGGGATGGGGGAGGTGGGGTGGTGATGATGGAGAGAAGGAGAGGGGGCTAAAGCGACACAGAGAAAGCGAGATCTCATCTATTGTAAGGTAAGGGTTGATAATAGGTTGACATCTGCACTCAGCAGCCCCCGGTTCTAGCAGCTCGTTGGAAACGCAATTAATATTCGTAATTATGTCACGTCTCCACCCACCGAACATCCTACCTCACCAAGCTTCACCAACGCTCTCTCTCTCTCTCTCTCTCTCTCTCTCTCTCTCTCTCTCTCTCTCTCTCTCCTTTTCCTCCTTCTCCTCCTTTTCCTCATCCCGATTCTGCCCTCTCCTTTCGTCGTCGTCATTATCACTCCTCCACCCACCACCGAAGAAGGATTTAACGAGATAAGTTACAATTACGACATCGGCGGGACATCTCTTTCTTCCCTTCTCTGGATTCATCTAAATAAATTTTTCGATCGAAAGAAATAAATATTTAAAACCAAAGTACGAATTCGATTTGTAGATATGTAAATTTTTTAAAATGATCAAAATTAAATAGCATTGTTCTTCATCGTTCGTATATATGTCGGTGTTGTAGGGACGCACCACAATCGATAAAAAAGTTAAGGGATTCTATTTGCCTCTTCTCTTCCTCCTCCTCCTCCTTCTCCTCCTCTTCTTTCTCCGTCTCTTGTCATCCTCGTCACTATGGTCTCTCCATGGATCTCGGTCGAGCCTTCGTAATACGCGATAATGAATGTGAAATTTATTTGCGGCATTGAAGCAGTCGACCACCGTTCTGGCTGGACCCTTCGAAAAACTGTCAGATACAGCTTACCACCTGCCGCCAATTCTAATTGCCATCGAAGGTGTCATTTACGTTTGCTCACGATTCGTTGTAACATGGAACGTGTACAAAAATATTAAATAGATGAAATATCTACCATAACTTTATTATGATTTCATTTATAATCGTCTATTGATACTACGACGATCGATCTTTTTCATTTACGACGAATCAAATATCCGATTCTGCTAATTCCTCAGACAAATAGAATCATCGAGCATTCCTTCAATTTAGCTGACTTAAATCTTCGTTTTTATCGATCGATCTTCCATTATCGTTAAATCGAAATGCATAAATCAAATAATATATTCTTTATTATATCCAAACTTTTATAAATTAAATACCTAACGTACAGTTTTGAAGATTTCTCTCTATATTCATACTTATTACCCTAAATTCACAGCCTTCACGCGTCCCATCGCTTATTACAAAATATATAATTCCATGGGCTGTGAGACGCAATAAAAGAGAAAGAGATAGAGAGACTCAATGGGGCCGGAAATTACGCAACGGAACTTGCGACTTCTCTCGTCCACCGAAAGCCCGATGTCCAAATAGAAAATGGATTAAGAGCATCGAGCTACAGTTTCGAAGCCAAGTCGTAGATATTATCGGTAATAGCGCAATTATGATAATGGC